TAGGACTGAAGCCATGAGTTTCCAGGCGGGGTTTCTGCGACCTCCGGAATCGGATGCAGACAGTCCATAGGGGTTGTCCCCTTCCCACCCTCACGTGTGGGTTATTCCTCAGTGACAGGCTCACCATCCACGGCCACCTCTGCGAGTGATGCCTGTTTGTTGTTGCTTGTTCTGAAATACAGTTTCCTCCCTAAAACTTTGTTCTGGATGTAACCAACTCCTTTCTGATTCTTCAGTTTCGTTAAAAGGACAGTAAACGTAATTCATAAAACTTTTAACAAGTAACACTATACTATGTAAATTAGGTAAGCAAACTTGTCACTACCTGGAGTTGGGGACCACACCATGCTGACTGCTGTCTCCTGGAGAAAAGGAAGCCCGAAAGTCAAGCTTGCATCGCTGCAGCTGAAGCGCATCTGTGCTGAGTCCCCCAAAAACAACACCCACGGGCATGTGTGAAAGTCATATGCTACAGTTAAGGAAAAGTTTATTTTCTGTTTGCTAAGAAGTCATTCTCAGCTTGTGATAGTGAAAGAAAAAGCATAACACCTTTTCTCCCTTACTTTAAACAAAAAATTCTACCTTAATTTGAGTGCTCACATTAGCCTGACATGGAATTGCTTTCTTGTAAATTATGTCCTAAATTCTGTGTGACTGAAAAATGAAGCTTTCTTAGGAAGTAATTACTTTAAATTTAGCCAAAACCTTAGAAAGTAATTACTTTATGGACTTCCCTGGTGGCGCAGTGGTTAAGAATCCTTGCCTGCCAATGCGGGGAACACGGGTTCGAGCCCCGGTCCAGGAAGATCCCACATACCGCGGAGCAACTAAGCCCGTGTGCCACAACTACTGAGCCTGCGCTCTAGAGCCCGCAAGCCACAACTACTGAGCCCTTGTGCCACAACTACTGAAGCCTGTGCACCCTAGAGCCCGTGCTCCACAACAAGAGAAGCCACCGCAGTGAGAAACCCACGTACCACAACAAAGAGTAGCCCCCACTCCCCGCAACTAGAGAAAGCCTGTGTGCAGCAATGAAGACCCAACGCAGCCAAAAGTAAATAAATAAATAATTTTTTTAAAAAAAGTAATTACTTTAAATTTAGCCAAAAACTAATTTTATTTATTGTATACTTAACTATTATTGAATAAAATAAAATATTTTAAAGTGCCGTTTGTGTTTCTAGCAATTGCTTGTCATCCAGCAGGTTTGTCCACTTGCCGGACTTCACAGAAAACGACCGGATGGTAGGGCCCAGTGCCTTGGTGCCAGGCCACATATTCCCCCCGGGGAGACTGGACATGGGCTGTCAGGCCATTGCCCTCCCAGCTGAAGTATTTTGGTAGGAATGCAAATAGAAGACATGAAATTGGGGTCTTGAATTCTGAAATAGTATTTTCATAACACATAGTCTTTAATCTTTAGCTCAGTACACTGTGTGAATTATTTAAGAGTTATTTTCAGCAAAGGATTGATGGATATTTTGCAAACTAAAGTCTATCCCATGGGGAGATAACTGCTAGAAATCTCAACACAGACCAACTCATCAAGGTTCGGAGTTAATCTGGCATCGGCCGTAGCTCCATGGGGACAGCGCTTGCGGCCGTCTAATTGATCACTGTCTTGTTGATCACTCCTTGCGGAGCCCTGGAAGCCCCAGACTGGTGTGACACCAACATGTAAAAACAGGCTGTGACAACAGGCGTGTCATGAATTCCCTAATCTGTTTTTAAATCTTGGCCTGTCATTCAACACACAGTGTCTTTAAGTGTGTCTTCAGCATTCTGTGAAATCACAAGTCCAGTTGCTGTTCTCAGCAGGCTTCTGGTCATGTTGAGAAGACTTGGCAGACAGGGCATAACTGGAGAGCAGTACAGAGTAGGATGCTGTCTGCGTTGTGCTAGAGGAATTCAGGGATGAGAAAGATCCCTGCAAAGGAGGCAGTCGGAGAAGCTCCCAGACAGATGTGGGGGGAGCTGGTCTAAGCAGACCTGATGTTTGGACCAATCAGACTAGGAAAGAACGAAGGCGTTTGGCGTGTGATGGAGCACTGGCCCCACCGTGGTGGTATCGGGTTGGGGGGGTGGGCGCGGATGCTGGCATCAGGGAGCATTGTCTGTAGGGGGTTTATAACAATAATCAAACCGCTGATCAGCTTTCTCTTCTCATCTTTCCTGAGAATGGCAGAGATTAAATGCTCATCCCTGGAGGGAGGCTGCCCCCACCCCTCCTTAGCACAGCAGCATTAACCAGTGTCTGCCGAGTTCCCTGCTGTACGTGGGTTTGGGAGGAGGTGCGGAAGCCACAGCCCTTGCTCGGGGTTTACCACCTGGTCGGGAAGTGTGTCTAGAGGCATCGTAAGCTGGAGACCCCAAGCCTGCAGAGGGCCCCTGTTTGTCAAGCACAGTATTTAACTTTCTTTTGAATAGTTGCCCCATTTTAAAATTTGGGAGATGGCATATAAAACTAAAACTAGTAATTGTGAATTTCCAGATTCTCAAAAACTGGAAAGATGGAGCCTCACTGAGACACACATTCCTCAGTGGAAGCCTAGGGCGACTGGCCGTTTGAGGTTGGCGTATGCCCCAGCTTTTAGCATCCTCAGCCCACCAGCCATGGGTGCTTGGGTCCTCCCACACTGCGCTCACACCTGCGAGCTCCTCCCCGGCCACCCAGAGCACAGGGTCAGTCCCCTGGCCAGTCTGTCCCTCACCAACCCCATCGAGGCACAGCTGCCAGGAAACCCGCCATGGCTCCAGAATCCACAAGGTTTATCTCTGTTGCCTCACCAGAGTTTTATACCGAATTTTATTCCCCTTTACTATTCCGTCACCACCAACTGCAGCCACCACCTGGCCAGACTCATCTCGTTGCTGGTCCCCACACCTCTCTCACCCTGGCATTTCCCGTCGCCTTTGCCTTGTGGCTCCTTGGCTTCAGCTATCATCTCTCCTCCATCTGCATCCTGCCCAGCAGAAGGTCCTACTCCCACTTCCTGATTGTCTTCCCCTTGTGCGCTCCTTTACTGCTCTGAAATTGGCTTATCTTCCTCTTCTTAAGGGCAGGTCTTGATCTCCGGTGGCCTCAGCCTGCAGCGGCTTGAACAGGGTTTTGGTTCCCAGCCAGAGATTGAGGTCGGGTCACAGCAGTGAGAGTGCTGAATCCTAGCCACTAGATCAGTGGTCAGTGACAAGGCCCTGGCCCTTCAGCTTTGCAGAAAAGAATTCCCACAAAGACAGAAGGTAGTGAAACAAGTAAAGTGTTTATTAGGAGGAAAAAGGGTACAGTACGTGTGGACTCTCAGAGAGAGAGTCGTGCCCTTGTGGTAGTTTGAATCACTTATGTGGGGCATTTCTTCCGGGTTTCTTTTGGCCAGTCATTTTGATTTGCCTGATTCTGAGTCCATATTTGGTATATCTCAGGGTCCCGCCATGTGCATGCGCATCTCTCAGCCAAGATGGATGCCAGCGAAGAGACCTATGGGTAGGTTGGCATCACTCCCCTTTTGACCTCCAAGGAGCTTTCTAGTTGGGCAGATCTCTTTGACTTCGAGAATGAGAAGTATGTGGTCTTTTATCTGGGCAGGGCCCAGCCTCTTCTCTCGATTGTCCTGCTATTTTCATCTTGGAGTATCATCCACAGGGAACAAACTCCAGCTGTTTACCCTGTGGGGGGGGCCCATCTATCTCCTGCCTCAGTCTCATTCTGTGAATTGGTTGGCGACAAGATAAAGCCTTCCAGGGAGAATCAGGACCCAGATTTTGCCTTAGGAAAAGCAGGTATCCATAGGTGCTGTAAGTCCCACTGGCCAGGAGTCCAGGAGGTGTGGGGCAGCAGAGCTCAGGAGTGAAGGACCCAACAGGGTCTGGCCCATAGGGATGAAGACTCCAGGCTTAGCGTTTAGACAGGAGCTCGGGACTTGGCAAGGAGCTGGAGTGCCGACAGGGTGGTCCGGAGTCGAGAACAGGGCTTGAATCTGGGGGCCCATTTCTATTTCCTGCCCAGGGTGGAAACCTGCTCCAGAGTGGGGGTGGGCCCGTACCTCCAGTGTACAGGAGGAGCAGGTCTTTTTCATCCTTGCATCATCAGGCGCATGGCCATTGCATAGATCTAGTAACTTAACCAACCTTTGCACTAATTACAAATTAGTAGTACTTTGCTAATGAACATTGGTTTATAAGTTGCTTCATTTTCCTTTTGGGGTACGTATTGAATCTTCCCACCTACACATGTGATCAGTTCCTTTAAAGGAGAAATACTGTTTTGTCTTTGATAGCTTCTCCCATAGCTTTTTAGAATCATGCAAACAGACATTTTTTTTTAAAGGAAGTTATTACCCAATCTCTTTGGAGGCTGTTGTGGCCCTATGACAGACCTAACCTAAAACAGTGGCCAAATTGTTAACACTCCACCAGTCCCCCCGTGGACTGCAAATAGATGATGAGGGCTAAATCCCTCTTTCCACTCCTTCCTGTTCTTACTAAGAATAAAGAAAATGTTGCAGTGGGATCTGAATGGAGAAATAATAGTCATTTTTCTGCATTCAGAAATAGAGGATGTAACCTGTACTTCAGCCAGCAGTTTTCAATTTCTTAGCAGTGACAATTTAAGTAAATTTCATGTAAGTTGAGGAGCTCTAACTTTGTTATGATTGACAATGTAAAATTAGCCTTTTCTACTGTTGAGATTATCTGGCATTCCTATCAGTCAGGTGGCATGTGGAATGAGATTGCACAGCTGTGGATTTGAACATCATTAAAGTCTTCAAAGGGTTAAAAGCTACTTCCTCTGATGGATTTAAAACTGCCACATACACACAAACAAGTTTTTCAAACCACCCCGTTTTACATCTTTGTCGAGAGACAGTCTGGTTGCTGCGTTTTTATGTCTAGATTATATTACAGATATATTTCAATAAACCATGAGGAACCACCATAGATTCTAGAAGCTGGCCGTCTGTGCTTAAATAAACATCTCCTGCAGTACCTGTTTTATTTTATAGGCTGTGTAATCACAGTGACATTCTGAGAAAAGACCTTGACGCCTGTGAAGCAGCTGTCCTTCACCAGATCCCCAGACTCTCCCCTGGGGGTGGCAGCAACGAAAAGCAAGTCAGGTATGACTGTCGTCAAGTTGCTGCTGTGGTGGGTCGGCCCTTGTTCCCAGATAAGGGTCTCGAAACACTGGTCCACATGATCAGCACTGTGCTGGGCACTTGCAGCATCAATTTAACTGTGGCTTCACCATCTCCTTTGTGAATGTATCTGTTTTTCATTGTTAATTGGATGTATCTACTCAACCTCTGCCCATAGCAACATTTTTAGGCTTACTTGGGGGGAGGGAAGGTGGGTAGGCTTTGTCTGACATGTTAGCGTACCTTGGTGAACGCCCAGGTTATCCAGCAAAGCCACCATCTAGAGGGATGTCCTTAGCAGGTCCAAACCCCAGATAGGTTCCTAAATTTCCAAGGTCATGCTAGTGATACAGACCCCTAAGTACGTTCCTGCACCAACAGCATCGACATGCCCTGGGAGCTTGTTAGAAATGCACGTTCTCGGGTCCCACCCCAGATCCACTGAATCAGGAGTCTGGAGGTGGGGCCCAGCCATGCAGGGTTTGAATGAGTGTTAAACTCTGCTTCCTCAAGTTCGAGAGCAGCGCTCGGAGGATGTGCCTTAAATGGCTAGAAAGCTGGGGTGAGCGAGTGGGGGCTAATCATTTGCAGGGTGGTTGGTGCATACGAACCATGATTCTTGTACGTCCTTCCTAAATCAGATAGAAATCGATCCTTCCACCCACCTTCTCGGCACTCTAGGTGTCTTCTCATGCATGGCCTCAGAAGCTTCGTGGCATCTGGGCTTAATTGAATTCGCAAAATTACAGTTGTGTAGTATGTGTAATAGTTTGTCCAGTGCTGGCCCCTGGTAGGTGCTTGATTCATGGTACGTGAATGTTACCAGTGTCCTAACCCCGATTTGTATTCTGGGGACTGACTACGTTTCCTCTTTATGAAGTAGGTCCCCACCATTTTGCAGCAGAGAACAAATGACGGCTCAGGTGTGGTCAGCCATCTGAAAGGGCCTTGACTGGCCAGGAGAGCCAGAGGGGCTTCGGGTCTGGTTGTCTAACATCCGGCCTCGTCTTCTCTCCCTTCTACATGCCACAGAGGCACTTTTATGTAATGATATAAACAGGAAGGGTAACATGATTTTCGGAGTAGAATTCAGCATAAATCCAGTGTGTATTGGGTCCCATCAGGGTGTGAGGAGAAGTCAGGGTAATGGCCTCTAAAAGGACCTTGTTACAAGAAAACTTGGCTAATCTCAGGGCTCCATTCCACAGACCACAAGGTGAGGTTCACAAGTCCTGACTGTGTTTACATTCCCTTCTGCATCATGCTGTGATCTCCAGACTACAGAGAATGCTAGACATGACCATCCTGGATCAGTAGCTTTTCAACTTAACAGCAGTAAAGGGCAGTGCACGAAAATCCTCTTCCATGTTTTTTATCATGTGAAGTGACAAAAGGCAGTCTTTAAAATACCCTTTACAGGGGTGTGAAAGAAGCTGGCTGGGGAGGAGTCTGTGGTCATTTGGTGATTGTGTACTGTAAGGCTCTTCAGCTGGAGCCCGGCTTCTTTCTCACTGCCTTGTGTGTCTGTTGATATACTATTTGGCATAAACCACAGTTGTGGTATGTCGCATAAAAAGCATATTATGCATTTATAATTCTCTTTGCAAACTGAGTTGTTAGACTAAATGATTCATCGTGTGACTCTCTTAACCTGGGCTGCCAAACTGTGACTGTGGGTGATAAGATATGATATCTCCATCAACTACACCAATGTTTGTTATAGTTTCTCAACATGCATAAATAGAGCATTGGTTTCCATTATGAGAAGTTGCATTTTTACATGACTGTTGATCTACAGTTATGTATAAATCAGCCTTCCAGAAGAAATGATCCTTCTTTATGACCAACACAAATTTTAAAATTAATATCTGGAGCCTTCGGAACTGTTTCTTTGCCACAAGATAAAGAAGTCAGGAATGGTTCCATTATAATGTCACTGTTGTGTTCTGTTACAATTAGAATTACCCCTTGTCGTGACTGAGGATGCTGTTCAGTGCACACTGATTGTCACTGGTTCCCTCTCTAGCCTCGGAAAAAGGCCCAGGTGCCTACCTGACCTTTGAGAGACAAGCAGTCAGGTCTTAGCTGCCAGTCCTTTCTCACAGGCTTTATTTCTTTATTTTTTTATGCTCCTTATATTTTATTTTACTATTTTTAATTGGGGTATAGTTGTTTTACAATGTTGTATTAGTTTCTACTGCACAGCAAAGTGAAGTAGCATTCCCTGTGCCATACAGCAGGCCCTCATTAGCTATCCATTCCTTACACATTAGTGTATATATGTTAATCCCAACCTCCCAGTTCATCCCACCTCCCCTTCCCCCCTTGGTGTACATACGTTTGTTCCCTACATCTGTTTCTGTTTCTGCCTTGCACACTGGTTCATCTGTATCATTTTTCTAGATTCCACATATATGCGTTAATATGCGATATTTGTTTTTCTCCTTCTGACTTACTGTACTCTGTATGGCAGTCTCTAGGTCCATCCACATCTCTACAAATGACCCCATTTCATTCCTTTTTATGGCTGAGTAATATTCCATTGTATATATGTACCACATCTTCTTTATCCATCAAAATGGATTAAAGACCTAAATGTAAGATGGGGCACTGTAAAACTCTTAGAGGAAAACATAGGGAGAACACTCTTTGACATAAATCACAGCAAGATCTTTTTTGACCCACCTTCTAGACTAATGGAAATAAAAACAAAAATAAACAAATGGGACCTAATGAAACTTCAAACCTTTTGCACAGCAAAGGGAACCATAAACAAGACGAAACACAACCCTCGGAATGGTGGGAGGAGATATTTGCAAATGAATCAACGGACAAAGGATTAACCTCCAAAATATATAAACAGCTCATGCAGCTCAGTATCAAAAAAACAAACAACCCAGTCAGAAAATGGGCAGAAGACGTAAACAGACGTTTCTCCAAAGAAGACGTACAGATGGCCAAGAGGCATATGAAAAGATGCTCAACATCTTTATTAATTATTAGAGAAACGCAAATCAAAACTACAATGAGGTATCACCTCACACTGGTCAGAATAACATCATCAAAAAATCTACAAATAATAAATGCTGGAGAGGGTGTGGAGAAAACGGAACCCTCTTGTACTGTTGGTGGGAATGTAAATTGATACAGCCACTATGGAGAACAGTATGGAGGTTCCTTAAAAAACTAAAAATAGAAGTACCGTATGACCCAGCAATCTCACTCCTGGGCATATACCCAGGGTAAACCATAATTCAAAAAGACACATGCACCCCAGTGTTCATTGCGGCACTATTTACAATAGTCTCACAGGCTTTAATCCCGGCGTCACGCTCCCCCTGCCCCCTGTGTGCTCCCACCTCCTGTGCCCCTTAGCACCCAGGAGCTGTTGCTAGGTATTCCCCGAAGTGAAGTATTCCCTTCTGCCTTGTGATATCCCTTGGACTGAAACAGCTTGGTCATTCCGGAAGCACAGACTTGGAGAGAATGATACTTTTGTTCCTTAATCGTTAATGACATTGATGTCACAGAATTCTAAGCCGGGCAGAATGGGAAGGCTCTGACAGCTTATGGACTCCTGCAGGCCTGTGAATAGAGCCATGTTTGGTGTGGTCGTGGCCCTGCTTGAGCCCCTGACCAAACCTTGGCAGGCGACATCTGTCTCTTTGCTTTAATCCCATCTGGAAAATGGGACACCTGCCCCATAGCGTACTCTGAAAGATAGTGTGAAGATTTCTGAATTCTCTATCACAGGATGAAGCATCTTAAAAATGAACAAAACCATTCCTATCATCATTATTATTAATTTTTGTTATATCAAGGATTAAATGTTGAAAGTCCTTCATACGAAAGGTTTACTATTATTAGGTGGAGGACCAAGTCATTATTTTAGACAATTATGAGTTTTTAAAATATGATTCATGTCACTTGGGGCAGTTGATTTTAAAACTTTGTTCATATTGCCTCCTGGAGAATATATTTTAACACAAAAGTGATTACTTAATCACTTTATCTTATATGAAAACCGTGATGAGACCACCCATGAGTTTATGTTTGTCCAGGTGCAATTAATTGTCTCTGTCAGTGGCTACTTTCAGATGGAGTCACCCAATTGTACTCTCAAGCTAATGCTGAACAATTGAGTCAGCTTTATAGTGTTTGGAGTATAGTATGTAGAAATCTATTTTATTCTGCTTATGCTCAGAATAAAATTCAAGGTACTTATTACTTTGTCTGCATTTAAAACTATTGTCAAATTACCAATCTGTTGTAAATCATTTGTAGTTAGGAAATGCTGGTACATTTGCTTAAATTGCAGTTTTCTCATTGGAAACCATTCCAAGTATATGAAGTTAATTATAGACTATTTAGAGTCTATTGCTTTACTTATCTTTAATTAGAGGAGTATATAATTTAGCTGACATCACACTTTGTTTTTTCCGTGTGACATTGATACTGTAAAGTTTCTGAAGTGAAGTGGACGAAAGAGGAAAAAACTTCTTTAAGTCCTTTGTACCGCTATGTAGATGTTCTGATTCTGTATGTTTGTGTAGAACCAGGGACGGGACTCCACACAAGGCCAGCCATGGCCCAAGCCCTCCTTGTTGCCAGGTGTTGGTTTAGCTGTTCAGAAGTCACAGGTTCTAGTGCTCAATCTCCTCCAGAAGCTTATTTGCTTTTTGACCCCATAGGTTTCGTTCTTTTGTGAAGCAGGTATAATAATTATAGGAAACCTTAGCTACTTCTTTCACTCCAGGACCCAAAGGATGGTTACAGTTGGCAGAGGTGTTAGTAACCCGAGTCTTGCCTTGGCTTTGCTTCTGCAGAAATCATGTGTATCAGTCACCAGAGAGACTGGTCTCTGATAATTCATTCCATCCCAATTAACTAGTTTAACTCATCCTCATTAAACTTGTTTTCAAATTTAATTCATCCTAACTAAACATTCTTTCAGGCTAAAAACACAGTTGATTTACTCATTATGAGAAATATACCTGCTGACTGGACTAGGGTTTGCTGATGGCCTGTGAGCGCATTTTCCTAGGAGGGAAATAAATCTATTGCAAGCCCAAGTACAGATTCAAAGGTTGCTTCATTCACATAGAACAGAACAGAAAAGAGGAACTGGGGGCTTTATGACGTCACTGGGATCTAGACATCACCAGGAGAGGCAAGTTGCTGAAGGGGCTTTCTACCAAACCAGCCTGGAACCTTGGAATCATTTGGGGAAGTGTTTAAATAAGTTCCAAGATTCCAATGATGCATCATCCCACTTTATAATCAAGTCTTGGGAAAAACTAGGGTTAGGTCAGGCAAAGGTTATAACAATTAAGATTTATTTTAAAAGGTTCTGGATTGTACCTAGACTAACTTTTTTCACATTTTATTATGAAAATTTCCAAACACACAGAAAAGTAAAAAGAACTGTACACCCACATACCCACCACCCAGATTCTACCATTGACATTTTATTACACTCCCAAATCTGTCTCTCTCCATTTCCCATCCATCCATCCATCAGTTCCAATCTGTTATTTGTCTGCATTTCCAAGTAAGTTGCAGATATTAGTACACTGTTTTTTAGCTTATACTTTGAAATTTTTAAACATCCACAAAAGTAGATATGAGTATAATGAAATCCCATGTACCCTCACCCAGATCCACAGTTGTCAACATTTTGTCAGTCTTATTTTATCTCCTTCCCTCACCCACACTTTTTTCTTGAGTAGTTTAAAACAGACAACATTTTTCTCTCACAAATACTTATATCTCTAACAAGGATTAAATACATTACCATTTAAGAAGATTCTTTATTACCTAGTCCTTGTCAGTTTGCTTTGGCTTTCTCTAAAAAAGTCTGTCTGTATTTGCTGTGTTTGAATCAGGATCCAAATGATTTCCCTGTAAACTGGTGGTTGGACCTGGGTCCAGGATTACATTCCAGGCGGGTTATTCTGGCAGAATGACATCCAAGGCAGTGCTGGTCCTTCTTACTCCACCTCCTAAGGCAGCAGGTGTCTACTCGTCCCACCGTTTGTGCTGCCAAGGCTGGGCCGTGGGCTCGAGCGTTGGCAGATGGATGCCTCTGATATAAAGCTTCCATTACGCAATTTTCTCAAAGTTAGGATCCTTTCCTAGATGCATTTCATTCACTTGGACTTAGAAAATGGTGACTTTTCTAACTCAGTTCTTTCTTCTGCATTTATTAGTTGGAAAAACTTTTCCCATCAACTACTTGGTAACTCTGAAATTTTTTTTTCAACCACAGAGGCAGGGTAAATGCTTGATTCTATCCCTTTACTTAACCAGTTTCCAGAATAATGAGTTGTTGCCCTAGCAGCATCCAAAGGTTGGGTTGTTTATATTTTTGTGGTAAAAACACACATAAACATAAAGTTTACCATCTTAACCGTTTTAAGTGTACAGTTCAGTAGCGTTAAGTACATCCACATTGGTGTGCAGCAGATCTCTAGAACTTGTCATCTCACAAAACTGGAGCTCTGTGCCCGCTAAACTAGTCCCTATTCCCCCCTCCCCCAGCCCTCGGCAGCCACCACACTACTCTCTGTCTGTGAATTTGACTACCCTCAGCGTCTTATGTAAGTGGGATCGTACCGGATCTGCCTTTCTGTGACTGGCTTATATCACTTAGCAGAATGTCTGTAGATTCATCTGTGTTGTGGCCTGTGAATCCAAAGGTTTTTATTATTTTTAAAATTTTATTTACTTATTTATTTTTCAAACGAACTCATGTATTTTTATATATTTGCTGTGTATCAGTCTGCGGTAGTCATTATCCTTTTGGTTCTCAAGCTGTCCTGTCCTTGGCCAGTGGAAGCCCCTTCAAGGGAACCCTCAAGGCCTTTGCACACAGCTCAGAAGTCTGAGAACTTCCTTACTTCCTGGAACGACAAGGTGCTCCAGGCTCATCTGGTGCATTTCCTGCCCCAGACCTGGAATATAATGCATTTTCCTAAGTGGGCCTTGTTCCTTTTAGTACTGCATCTAAGTACTGGACTCTGGAAATTCCCTTAGCCCAGAATATATTAGGTTCCAGACTCTTCTGGATAAACTGTCTAATACTAGCTTGATTATGGGGGCCTTTAACAATGTGGGAGGTTCTTAAGTCACCCAGCGCGGCACACGTCTAATGAGTCTCCTGTTTCTGTTTCATAGGTTTGAACAAGCACCAGCCTCAGGTTTATGGAGGACACCATCGGGTCAGTGTGTTACCACCTTGAAAAGACATGATAATTCTATCCAAGAAGAGGTGGTCGCGAAGCTGTCTGAAGTTTTCCCAGTCAAAAACGTGGACCGGAGGACAAGGGTTAGTAATTTTTATTTTTTAAAATAAGTTTCAACATGTACAAGTTAGTCATTTGAGGAAATAGTTACATTCTTAACAATGATTAACATATTTGAAAAAAATGATAAGTTGTAAGTGAGGTTTTTTGGTTGGTTGGTTGGTTGGTTGAACTGTCTGATCTCAGGCCTTTTGCACAGTGTTATATGTAGGCATCTCAAGTCCTTACATAAAGTTAACCCAGGTCCTGGAGGTAACCTAATTAAACATAGCTACCACAACATTTGCCCAGGGAATTTAGGAGCATCTTGTAGAATTCTGGTTTTCTTTCTCCGCTCCATCCTTTAAAAATACTGTATGGTCGTTTATGTCAACTCCGCAAATATGTACTAATCCACTTCTGTGGATTAGGCTGCAGCCCAGATCCACTGGAGGGAAAGAGAGAAATCCCACGTGGTCCCTCCTTCAGGGGAATGGCATAATGGGATGCCTGCAGTAAGAACACGGCAGAGGGTATGGACCCTCAGGAAAGGGAGCCAGGCCATCTGGAGAAACAGGGCGGGAGCCGAGGGGTGTGCGAGGTGACCCTTAAAAGACAGGCAGGATTTTGACAGGCTCAGAGGGCAGGGCGATGGGCAAGGGCTGTTAGGAGCCCAAGAACAGACCAAGAAAGCCCACACTTTTCCAGGAAACGGAGCTGTTCTCTGTGGCTGGGGAGTGGACTGCATCTGGGGACGGGGATGAGAAGCTCTAGGGATCACCGCCCACTGTGCAGGGTCTGGCCCAGCTCGGGAGCCGGTGTTCACGGGTTCAGCAGAGTTTGGAAAGCCGCAGAGCCCCTTGAGCCAGGCTGCAGGAGGGCCTGCAGGGCCTCAGGGAATTTAGCCTGCATGGATGGGAGGGGGACGGCCAAGGACGAACCCTGCCATGGCTCAGCCAGGACAGTTGGGGGCTGACTGATGACCTGTCACTAGGGAGAGCGTGAGATGCTGGACACGAGCTGATGGAGCCCGTTCCTGGGGAAACATGGGGAGTGCGGGGTGGGGGGTGGAAGACCAGGTCCAGAGCGGCCGCCCCATAGACATGGCCTTTCTTCTCCTGAGCTTAATGTCTTGTTTGTCTTGTTTCCAAGTATGTTTTTTCTTTCTTTTTTTTTTTTTTTTTTCTTGGCCATGCTGCGTGGCTTGTGGGATTTTAGTTCCCCAACCAGGGATTGAACCCAGGCCCTCGGCAGTGAGAGTGCAGAGTCCCAACCACTGGACTGCCAGGGAATTCCCTCCAAGTATGTTTTTTTATCCTTATACATAATATAGTGTTCTCAGGCTTTTTGATCATTTTACAGTTTTTATTTTTATTATGCACAATGTTCAGGATTCCGCATGTGCCCCCGCTGGAGGCAAACCTTTCCCCTCTGTCCCAAAGCCACAGCCTGTGCTGCCATGCAGTCCAGAGCCTCTGCATCACCCTCCAGCCTTCCCAAACCCCCCTTTCCTGCCCCCTTAATTAAAAGAGAGTAAAAGGACTTTTTGTTTTTAAGCATTTCAAACATACGTACATGGAGTGATACAGTGACGCCATTGACCCACACTTGCACATGTGTTACCCCTGCACCATGTTGTTTCGGACTCCCTCGCCCTCCTCCTCCTTCCCTCCCCCTGCCCTTTCTCTGCTCTCCCTCCTCGCCTCCTTCCTCCCCACTTCCCTCCTTCTGGAGTAAATTATTGCAGGTATAGATACAGCCCCTGGGCACCCCTCACAGTTCCTGCCCTTTTCAAAGGTAACCTTGTGTGCATCCTTCCTGCACACATTTTCATTTTACTGCATTGCGTGTGACTCAGTAAATAACCCTTAGTTTTGTTTTGTTTTGTTTGAGGTATGGTACCATTTGTGTGAATGTTCTTAAAGAAAGAACAGTATTCTTTAGGAGGAACAGAACCTGTGCTTTTTAGATCCGTTCCATACCTATTGATAAATGTAGATCCTAAAAAGGATTTTGTTTTCAGGTTTTATTATCCATCGTATTTAGTACTGTTTTGTAACGACATCGTTTTCCATTCTTGTTCACTGCAGCTACCCCAAATCTCAGCCATGTCAAGGGTGAAATAAGTATTGGTCTCCTGCCATTTGCCATCTCATCGTCTTTTTTTTTTTCCTAAAGGTGTTGTTTATATCAGGAAAACATATTCCAAGTTCCAGATGACCAGTTCACTCATAATTTTTCAAATAACAGCTCCATCATTAATGGGAAGGGGGCTTCCCAATTAACAGTTTATGAGTCAAATGATATTCTTCCTCCCCTAGTAGGTTTCTTGTTCCTTTTTAAATCATCTTAGTGACAGCCATAAAAATTACTAATAAATGAATGACAAAATCCATCCTTAAGGGACTTCCCTGGCAGTCCAGTGGTTAAGACTCCATGCTTCCAACTGCAGGGGGCACGGGTTCAATCCCTGGTTGGGGAACTAAGATCCCGCATGCTGTGGCACGGCCAAAAAAAAAAATCCTTCCTTAAAAATAGAAGCAAGCAATCAGTTTCTCAAATAGGTTGCGACTGAAAAAATGCACGGCCCTAAAGACTAACGTTACCAGTATGATGTGGGCAGGGGCAAGCCTTACAGACGTGAGAACAAAATGCTTTTCTGGGCTCTAGGACTGTTAGATTCACAAATCGTTTTATGATTAGCATAGTCAAGTGTCTTTGAGTTGTTTTCCTGTATTCGAACAATATATACATTTAGTAAATAGTATGGGTTCAATGTTTCTCTGTAGATAAAATCTTAAAAGTAGGAGATTTTCAAAATTTAAGGAAGCACTACTAGACATCACTTGGTTAAGAGTCTAATGAAGCTCAGAAATACTTACTTTGATCTCTTGGGTAAATGGCTAATTAAACAGCCACATGTAAATGATGTTTACCTGTGGGTCCCTTGCTGTCAGCTGGAGTCAACCCGTCTCCTGAGTAAATACATCATTAAAGCTGCTGAAATTTGGATTATGTCCCCCTGAGACCAGATAAGATCCACAGCACCCGCATAACCTATTAGGCAATTACATAATTGAGCTGCATGCTTTTAAATCAGGAAAATTTGTAATTATGTGAAAAAAAAAAATGAGTTGGGTGCTTCATTAAAATACAAAGTACCTTAATACTGCTTTTCTCCCAAGTGAAGCCTGCTTCCACCCAGGGGGACCTCTGCAGGCAAAGCAGCCCAGCCTGCCGGAGTCACTTGCAGAGCAGGTGGGAACGGCCACAGAAACCCCTGCCCCTCTCCTGAAATGAGGGACTGGTGTTCTGTTCTTCTCTCTTGAATACTCGTTCACTGGCTCATATGAATACTTCCCCTTTCTTTTCAGTGCTACATCGATGAAATCCCCTTCCTCTCCTGTAACTCAGATAAGACTTAAGTAATGATACTCGCGTTTCTCTAACACTGAAAAATTACTTCCGGTGTGCAGGAGGAAGGTTCTTGAGGAAGGGTCAGTTAATCTGTGTATGAGGGGAAACATCCATGCTGTCAACATCTGTGGTGTTTCATTCTCTTGTTCTTCTGTGTCTGCATTAACAGCACTGGTTTACATATGGAAGGTAATTTTATTTTATTAAGTGCTTTCACGTTCATTTTCTCTTTGTAGCACCCGTTGCAGAAACCGTATTCTTCTAGAGCTAGCATGTGTTTTCTTTAAAAAAGTAACAGGGAAAAAAACAAACTTGGAATATTAAGGTAAACAAAAAGAAGAAAGTTGCCTGTTATCCAACTGTCCACATAGAACCCTGTTGACACTGCGATGTATGGTCTTTAATATTTAACATATTGACAAACGTGGGTTATACTGTTTGTGTGCACGGGCTCCATGTTCCCCACTTGTCACAGGTGAACTTTCTTTCATGCCGTCGCGTGTTCTACATCCTTTCTAACGGCTGCACAGAGACCCCTGTGTGGCTCTTCCACTGTCTCTTTAACCAGGCTCCTGGTGTTAAACATTTTAAGTTGTTTTTAATTTTTCCTCTAGTAAAAAGGTTTCAAAGAATATCTGAGCAGTTCAGTTTTTTACAGATTCCCATGCGGTTTCCTGAGAATGATTTCCTAAATGTAGATCTGTTAGGTCAAAGGGTATGTGCGTCTCTCAGGCTTTTGCTCTGCACTGTCAGATCTCACCCTGGAAGGGTCATCACTTACCAGGAATGGATGAAAATATCCTTTCTCTGAGCTCTTTATGAAACTGGATACTATCAATTTTTTTTTTTTGAGCACCAAATTGAGAAGTGCCAAGGAGGTCAAATTGCGGTCACATTTTTCTCCCACCTATTTGTTAGCCATCTGTATTTCTTATTTTATATTGGTAATTTGCCAGTTCACGTTCTTTGCTCATTTTTCTATTAGGTTAGTAATATTTTTCCTTACTGACTTTTAAGAACTCATATATGAATTTGTATTATTTGCTACAATATTTTGAGCAGTTTGATTTTCACCTTTCATTTTTCTTAATGGTGTTTGGATACAAAGCCTTTTCCATTAATATCTTCATTTATCTATTTATGCATGTGAATTTCACAATTGATAAGTTTCTAGATGTAAATTGAGTCAACCTAGATGACTCTTAGGGTTCTAGGCCTAGCAAGATCCATATTTAGACAGAACTTTGAGAAAATGAGCCAATTAATCCTAGGTGTCCTGCTGAGCGTAACTCATAGGACAGTTTTTCTTTCGTAAGATCTGAAATACGGAGGTGTCGCTCTCAGTCATCCTGTAAGTATTGTGTGCCTTGGCGCTGAATTTCTAAGCGCTTTCTCCTGACTCCTGGGAACGTTAGAAAAGTGAGGGACTAGTTCGTTGGTGTTGACTTAGGCTGCAGACTGCTAAGAACGATGAGGCAGTCTCCAGCACCACCACCACTACCACCACCACTGGGCTTCAAATGTATGAGATGAGAGCGAGCCTTTACTACCTAACAAATAAGTTGGAACCCAAGCACGGGCCATTCATAAGCACCATCAGAAGGTCCATCTTTGGTGGCATTTTTCAGATAGAGAGCCCCACTTTGCAGAGCCCTTCAGTCACAGGTGGGACGTGCAGGGCAGCTTGCTCACTCTTTGCGCTTTAGTTCTTTCGCCGGTCACACTGCAAACTCCTTCCGTTTGGGGCCTTCCTTAGAAACGCACCTTTTCAAAGATCTGCAAACAGTACATCTTGAGAATGTATCACAGATGTTTTTCCTGACTCTGCATAAGTTGTTTTTGATGGGCCCTTTGAATGGACCTTCCTACCGTTCCTTGTCTCAGGCTGACTTTTGTTTCTGTCCCATATTGTCATTATTTCCTGCTTGTTAGGGACTTAACTTGTGAATTCCTCTGCGGATGACCCGCTGGGCAGATCTACCGCCATCTCTGTTGGCTTCATGGTCCAGCAGAGTCAAACCAACCATTCTCATGCTGTAATTTGACCATCCATCAAAAACCCTTATAGATATAAAATACTCATCTCTGACAAGTTACCTCTAGAATTAGTAAGAGAAATCCTAGAGATATGAGTATTAAGTAGTGAAGATAAATGGGATAAAATATACGAAATAAATGAAAACCTGCAGTGTGCCCTGCACTTACTCACCATGGTGCAAAAAGAAGGCTCAGTATAGAGCTGGTGACACTGGTGGTATTCTTCGCAAGCTTACAAGGCTTGTTAGAAGGATGTTTGCAGTATCATTATAGCACTTTAGTCTGTGTTCTTTTGAAGCCCAGGTGGAACCCAGCTAAAGCAAAAGAAGTTCTTACATGAAAGGGACGTGCAAAACAGTGATGTTGATTGTGTGTCATCATGGAGGGACTAGTGAGAAGTAATCCGAGTTATTGAAAATCTAGGACAATCTCCATTGTCTGCAAATTCTACAGTATAAAGTGTAGAAAGCCTCAACAGTCCTTTAACAACTTTATTCTTAAACTGTGGGTTAAGACAGTGGCTATTGTGAAGTCATGCCAAGAAATTATTAGTTACAGCTATTGCATAAGATAATATGAGGAAGAAATACATACTTGAGGCAGTCTCAGAAAGTTTGGATTATTTTAAATATCAGAAAAAGAAAATTATAGTTTTAACTACAGAGATTAAGCCAATTCTTTTTGTCCATCTTCTAAAATGCTTTCCATATATCCAGAATTATTGGGTGCACAGAATAGGAGCTTACTCTCTGTGGGGACAGACAGACTAGATCAGGATGGGCAGAGATCTTGAAATGAGACATGCTTGGATGGTCCAGAGAGCATCCTGATGGTTGCGAGATGGCAGCTCCTGTCCTTCTGGACAGATTCTAGAAGCAAGTGCAGTGCCATGGTTTACATGGGCAGCTGGGACTGGGCACTATGGCAGCCAGTGATGGGAACCAGCCCTGGCCCGAGCTTCAAGGGAGGATGGTACACCTGAATGCCAGTCGGCAGAAACAGGGCTCCTGTTCAGTTCATTCCAGAGTTATCCCAGTTGGAGTAAAATCCAAGGCCCACTTTATACAAATGTAGGAAAAGCTCCTGGTTACAAGAACTGGACAGACAGGTCTCGGCTGCAAGGCTAACTTGACACCAGGTCTTTTGGCCAAGGAGACTAGAACTCCTTAAGTCCCCTTCAGTCCACTTCTGGCCCCTCGGATAAGCCATGGGTCCTGGAGGCCAGCTGGTCCTAAGGCGGGCCGAAGGCAAGAGCCTTGCAGGGATGTCAAGGCTGATGACAGTGGCCTCGGCCAGACTCATAAGGCTCAATCTTCAAGGTTTGGCCTCGGCGATTCTTCACATCCTTTCATGTTGATGACAAGGAAAGAGTATGATATTCCCCTTTGTTCACTAGATGTTTGCATTGTTACCGTTTCTCTCTTGCACAGAAGATGACCAGGGAGCCTCTGCCCAGCTCCTCCTTCCCTTTCACTTGAGGGTCTCAGGTCCATTCCCCACACAGTGGGTCGGACCCTGCCCCGTGTTTACTACTGTCATCAGGTACCAGGGAGAGGTCGGCGCCACCACCTAGTGTTCCTCTCCCACCGCCGGGGCAGGCTTCCACTTCCGAGTAGGGGGAGAGAGAGGCTTGTGCTCTGGCAGCGGGACAGCGGCACCAATGGTTGTTCAGCTCTGGTCACCAGTATATTTTTATTTCTTGGGGGAGGAGTGCTGACCTGGAAATGCACTGGCATGAGTATTAACCTATCCTATTAAGTGCCACTTTTTCTCTGCCTCTCACGTTGGCTGTGGTAAAATCCCTGCCCACCTCCCTGCCCAGGACACTTCTGGCAATGTCGACAGTTCAGTGCCCTGTGAAAGCAGATAGGCCATGTGGCAGCTGAGTTTCCCCAAGCTCCCCGGCAGGCTTAGTGGCAAAGTACAGTGTCTTTATCCTTCGTTGAAGGTTATGATTTCCAATAAGGTCGGCTCTCTTTTTGCTTTAGTGTATCCTCCTCCGCCCCCAAGTTTTTCCACAATCTTCCCATTGAGGGGAAGTTCAGGGGTCATTTCTTGAAGAATGGGGATACCGTAAGGTCACATTTTTCCAGATCTCCTTCTCAGTCCAAACCAACTCTGTCCTCACGTGCCTGAAAAACAGGATTCGTGCAGTGAAAGAGTAGATCTTGGGTAAACCACCCAGGTTAACAGAGGTGGTCACGTCTCATATACATACTTCCCAAGTAGAAAAACATTGCTTACATAAGATTCAGTCCTCAAAAAATGTCTTCTTGTGAGTGTAAGTTGTTGTAAAGAATTAAATTACGCTGGAAAATAATCAGGTGTTATTTTATCTTGAAGGCATTTTAATTTCAGTTAAATGTCAGGAGACACATTAAATCCTAAGTAAAGCTTAACCTAAAATAACATTTGAAGGCTGGGTCTTTGAGACCAAGGGGAATGTGACTCACCACGGCTTGTTTTCATTTCTTTGTGCTTTCTTTTATGCACCGTAGGCAACAGCATTATTGAAAAAAGGCCTCACAGGAGAGCATAAGGATAGGTCGGCTGCTCACAGCAGTGAATCATCTTGCAGCTTGCCATCCACTCTGAATGACAACAGTGGAATGAAGAACGGAAAGCCTGCTCTGTGGCTCAGCTGTGTTCCTACAAGGGAACGAGGTTGCTATTGTTAAGGGTCTGTCCACAGCGAAACTGCGTTCAGAATCAATGTGACACCCTCTTTCTCAAAGTGTGCCCATAAAATAAAGCTTCTAAGGAATACCTGTGATTCAATATACATGACATGTTACTTGTTTTATACCACCTTCCAGAAATAGGTGTTTCAAGACTGGGAAACCTAATCGTAGGTCTGCAGTTCTGCCGAATTTCCAATAAAATATGTTTTTGTAAGTTATGAAATCTTAACAAAATTAACAATTGATAATATATACTTTTTGATCATCCCACAAAGATGAAGATGATTCCATTAAAATGATACCGTAAAGAACTGAAGTTTTTGATATCACCTAATAGAATTTACTCAAAATTATTAAACATTCTTTTAAATTATAATAGAACCTTATAAAAGTCTAAACAGATGATTAAGAATCAATGAATTCATGACCCCAAAATTTAATAAGCAATTTTTAGTATCTAGAAATTGTGATTATTTTAGTGTTACTGTTAAGCCGTGCCAGTAAACCGCTATAATGGCATTTCCAAGATAGCTGTGAGTTGCTCAGGATATTGTCAGAAGTTGATAATGTGCACAGGACCTGAGGCCCACTTATGTTAAGCCCCACACAAGTCTGATAGATGTAAGGTTAAATTGTTTTGCATGAAAGCAGCATAGAGATACCTTAGCTTTCGAATAGGTTTCCTTTAGTAACAGTGTATTTCAGATGAGATAAACTAACCAAGAAAAGAAGATGGGAAGGCAATGCAAATAAAAGGAATGGCAGTTAAAAAACCAAACAGACAAAGGCCTATTCCATCCATATAACCTTGAAATACATTTTTATTATCATATGTTTGATTTTTAGAAGTTTCCAGTGGCTGCGGAGACGAGAGCGCAGAAGAAAGCATGGCAGCGAGGATGCCAGTCACAGGTAAGGTCGTGGCTGCCTGAGGGCCTCAGATTCAACTTCCTTATATAACCAGAACATTTCAGGTTGGTGGTTGTGGACTCTGCGAAGAGCAAGTGCATTCCACTACCACGTGCTGCAGCAAGGGATCAATCCTGAGAGCATGAGGTGTGAGCTTAGGTTAACATAAAGGAAGGTAGAAAATAACCCTGTCTGCTGAGTCCTTCAGAATTGTTACATGTTTACACGTGTGAGTGTCCCACCCCCCCCATGAGCCTTTCAGCACCTGCGTCTGTGTGATAAGGTCAGCCCCCATGGGGAACACCAGTCATTCTATGGCCAACTACAGATGTTTCTGATTTCCCTCTTTTCTTTCCTGTAATAATTGAATGTATCATTATACTGTAATAAGAGCAGGAAAAAAACCAGTGCTGGACAAGAAGCTTGCTTGTGCCTCAGTTACAAAGCCCATCTGATCATTTAAAAATTTTAGCAGTAAAGTTTCATTAAGATCTGTTAAGATTTCTGCACATATGTTAGGTCTGTTTAGGTGAAATCTAAATGTCATTACTTATTTTAGTTTTAGAATATCAATAGCAGCAATTAGTATTCTGAACAGAGTTCTTATTTGTCGTACATCTAAATTTACTAGTACCTTATTTTGTAAAGTGGTGTGCTACTTCATTATAAATTCAAAGGTCTGACCTTAAATATTTATGCAAGTAAACACACCATTGCACGGAGGTACTGAGGCATGCATCTGCATATGTGTTAGTTTTGTTGTTTATAAGCAGAAGAGAATGGTTTCCTTTATGGCAATATGATTCATGGCCTGATGATTACTTTTAAACCCATGTATCTAGAATGAACTCTGATTTTGAAAAAGGAGTTTATAGTAGAGCAATTACTGTATATATTCTGCATCAGATAATATTTCACTCCAAAATACAGAGGTTTTCTTTTCTTTTAAACATTTTCCCTGGTGATGCGTTTATTGCATTTTTTTTCTTCATTTTGAGAAAACTCTGATAGAATTCCCTGTTTATTTTTTTATTAGCAGAGTTAGTAGAAGTGTAGATGATCCCAAACTGCAGATATCCAAGAAGTCATTTGAATGCTTTCCTTTTGCATCTACCTTTGAGTGCAGGATCTCTAATGACCTCTGAATTTGTTTCAGTTAGAATCCTAAGGGCTTGTTGGGGAGGAACCAGGAAGTGACCTCATTGCCTATTCTTCCTCATCTGTTCAGTATCAGTCAGTGACTGTCCCCAAATTAATACAGATGTAGTCTTCCCATGGGACTTTTTAACTGAGGTACTGTTGACATGCAACGTTACATCCGTGTCAGGTGCACGAGGTAATGGTTCACGGTTTGTAGACGTTGCAAGATGATCAGCGCAGTCAGCCTCGTTAATCTCCGTCACCACATGTAGTTACAATTGTTTTTCTTGTAATAAGAACTTCTAAGGTTTACGCTCTCAGCAACATTCAGATATGCGGTACCACAGTGTTAACTGTAGTCACAGTGCTGTACATTCCATCCCCAGGACTTACTGATTTTATAACCGGAAGTTTGTACCCTTTGACCCCCGTCACCTGTATCACTCACCCCCTACCCCCCCACCAGTAATCTCCAGTCTGTTCTCTGTATATCTCAGAATTTCTTCTTAAGAGAGGAGATAGTCAAGTACCAGGGTTTCAAGTCTTTCTTCTCTTCACGTGGGAAGAGGTGTGATGTACTTAGAAGTAATACGGACTATTTGCCATGAAGGTTTTTTTAAAGAAATTGTCATTGATCCATCAGTAGTTCACAGTTTAAAAAATGCTTTGTGCCTGTTATAGGCCAAAGCAGAAGGCATATAAAATAACCTGGGGGATGTGAAAAAAGCTTTCCGAAGCATTTTCTTAGTGGGAGCCTTGCCGTTCTGCGCCCTGCCACCACACCCCTCCTCTTCGGCACGTCCCGCCAAGTTCCTGCCAGAGGCCTTGTGCATCTCTGCTTTGCATATTCCATGGTCTCTGCGTATTCCTTGGTTGCGTCTGTCGTTGCAGCTCCTTTGATCTCCAAGTTCTTGACCTAAATCTCTTTACTAAATGTTTGTGTCTTTTGCCATGATTATTTGGAGATTTGGCCTTTGGTGAAGTAAGGCAGGTGTATCGTTTGATTTAAGATAACGGAGGCCACCTCCTCCTTTGTAATAGTTCTGTTGAGGCTCTCCTGTCTACGTGGGCCACAGTCCTTCTGGAATATTCCAAAGAGAAGGAACATTTGTGAGGCTGCCCACTGGGAGCTGAGGAGATGTGGTGGTGGATCCTGGGCTTTGGCATCAGCCGTTGTTGTCAGCTCTTTACTTCCTGCTCTGTTTCTTCACCCGTCTGAGCCCCTGACCTGGGCTACTTTAGTGTAACTAAACCCAGGCGATGTCAGGATTGAAAGTGACTTGTTAAAGCTGCTTCCTGCATCAACAACCAGCAGGTTACAGTAGTAACTTTGGACAGTTCGGAAGTGCTCATCCTCAGGGTGGGTGCTTCTGTGTGATTCTGCCTTATAGCCATCTCCCAAGGGATGTGGTAGAGCGAGGTCACAGGGAAATCAGGGTCCGGCACAGGAAATTGGGCAGAAGTTCTGAAGTTACACCGTTTTCAGAATGATGAGGGTCCTGGGAAAGTTTAACCTGAGAAGGGCACAAAAGCTATTCTTAAATATTTGCGGGGCTGCCAGATTTACCGAATATAGTCATAGAGTGTAACTCGGGAGCCCTGTTAGTGAGTGTTGCAGCAAAGGAATCCACACCCAGTAACGGCAGAACTCTCTAGCCTTTTTAGTCGGGTGTCTTCCAGGCATGAGGTTCTGTGCCAGGGCTTGAACCGTGGCAGGAACCTGCTCTCTAGAGGGGCTCCGTGGAAGGGTTCTTGCTTCTGGGAGCAATGACATTGCTTCTAATGCTAAGCCTGTGATTCTCATTCCGTAGTGAAGGGATCAAATGAGCCGACGTTCTCATTCATTTCCCTTCTTATTGCATATCCCCACCACTTAAAAGAGTTTGCTGTCACTCTGAAGGCATCGGCCTTGTTAGTCACTGTCATGGGGAATGTGAGTTTCACACTAGTTCCTGTCATCTGTGCGGAGACTTACGTACACACCCTCCTGCACACACACCCACGCACACAACCACAGCCTGTGATCTGCTTGTTGACACAGGCTACCCCTTCCTTTAGTCTGGTTGTTCACACTGAAGAATCCAGGTCAAAATCAAAGATTAATGTGATTATCTATGAGTGTGTGGTTTTCTTTATTTAAGAATAATATATAATTTGCATATATGTTACACCTTTACTTGGGCTGAGTCCAGGGAATACCAGGGACAGCCAAAGACCAGGTCCCTGCCCTCCTAAGCCTCCATCGTCTCTAACCTTCACAGGAGCCCTGTAGGTAAGCAAATCGTTCTACACATGGTCCGGCATACTTGGAAAGATTGAGAGCCCTGTTGAGGGCCATATAGCCAATGTGTCAGATCTTGAATTACACTCAAATTTCAGGAATTAAGCCCTGAAGTCCTTCCATCCCACCATGCAGCCTCTTTTGTTTTATGAGAGGCGCCTGCATCACGGCATCTGGACCAGTTAAACATCGGTTTGTATCTTAACAAAAGATGAGCCCTGCAAGGACGATTTTGAGAGTGATGATGAGCAAAGCCTGGAGAGGTGGGCAGCTCTTGAGGATTTCTGAGTGTGGACTGTCCTGGGGTGGCCCTTGTAAAGCGGAGTGAGTCTGTACCCCTAGGCGAGCCTGAGACCACGAAGCGGGTACAGGACAGTCAGGTCAGTGTTTCCCTGGAGCACTTAGGCCAGAATTGAAGCCATGCTTGTCTAGATTATGAGAGAAAGTCTCCCTCTGAACTACTCATACCCCCAAAGTAAAATTTCCCACATTGGTAATTTTATTGGTATTTATACTAAATTTACCTTTGAGGAGGATTTGGTGAGTTTTAATTTTAGTAAATGATGCAGCTTATGCTAAGTGTCATAAAAACCCAGCCCCGACACAGTATCTGGCACACAATGGGCACTCATTTCATCAAACGAATGAATAAAAATGAAAGTACTAAGGAGTTTCCTTAAGCGCTTGTTGATTTAGGCCAGAACACCGTCTCTTTCCATCAGTCACTCCACCGGTACTTTCCCACCCACGTGCCCATCCTGGCAAAACTCATCTCCTTAAGCTCCATGTGAAAAGGGCTCTCAGCTTTTATCTCAAGAGGATTAAGCCTCTAAGAATGTCCATTCAGCCTCTCATTCTTTTGACACCAATTCTCTTGGTCAAGCTGTGTTGAAAGTGGTTGCCTGACTATGCCATTTCTCACTGATAATCTTTGGCAAGCTGAAATATTCCAGGTCAGACTGAGGTACGTCCATTTAGAAGCTCTGTGGGAGGTCAGCCTAGATTTGCAGGGTGCTCCTGGGGCTGTGGGCAGGGCTTCCCCAAACATCATGGCTTGAGTTTTGCATCAGATTGGGAAAAGGCTGGGAATACACGATGGCCGCATTGTCACCGGTGGCTAGATTTATCCTGGGAGAGAAAACTGCAGTGACAACTGAGGACTGTGGAGTCCAGTGGCAAAGCACTTCTGCTCCTCAGGCTTTCCTGAGACTGCGCCTCACCATTTCTGTCCCGGAAATGCACAGTCAGTCAGGATGCCTTACCTGCTGTGCCTGGGGAAGGGAGCCCAGGGAAGCACTGTGTGCCGCTGGGTTGGCCCTGGCCCCGTCTCTGTGGCAGGGGTCCAGCTGCTCATGACAGCAGAGAACTCCTCACGCAGGACGTTGCAGGCTGGTGGGGCCTGTTTAACGTGGTCATAGAGGAATGGAAGGCGCCTTTCTGAAGAGCTCTTGATTGGGTGCTTTCAAGGAGATGAACTCAGAAGTGCCTGAGAAATTCTCTTCAGTGGTTACACAGCAGAATCCCATGTGGAGCTTTAAAACAGACCCACACCCCAGCCACACCCTGGACCGGGTGCCCCAGA